GACAGAAAGCGAGAAATCACCCCCCAGGGGGGATGGTCACGCCGCAATCCCTTCTCCTCCATTCTCCTCTCGGGAACTTGGGCACGCATGCACACGCGCCCGGCGTGAGTTTTAAGCCACCGGGTACGGGACGCGAACCGCGGTCGACTACGTGGGAGTCCAGCGACATAGCCATTACGCTAACTCCTGGTTCCCTGGAGAAAAGTCTTTAGGGGCTCATCATGGGGGGGCAACCCTCACTGAACAAACTTGGACCCGCCGTCCTTATGCAGGTTGAGTTTTGCTCAGCTCCTGGGCCTCCACTCCTGGTCCCTGAATCTCCATGTAAATTTTGCTACATGTATGAATACAGTGGCTGAGGGCTGGACACCCCTGTGTCCTTCTCCATGGCAGCCCAGAATGGTGCCCGTGACTCCTGATGCACTTGGGATGCTAGGTTTCTGGGTTCAGTTCCCATCACTGCCACTGTGAGCGTTAGGGTGAGCCAGCCGCATTCCTGGGTCTTCCTTCTCCCCTGTGTGACTTGAGATACTCACACTCTCTGCTCCTGGGAGCGAGTGTGAGAATTAATTACCAGCCATCACTACACCCAGCACCGGTGAGGAGATGGCTGTAGGAGTGTTCCAGGAGCGCCTGTGATGAGATGACACGCCCCCTGGAGAGATGGGAGGAGCTGGGGAGTGAAGTGGCTGGCCAGAACCCCATACCTTCAGCCAGTGAGAGACAGCTGCAGATCAGCCCCTTGGGAGCCCTGGAGACGTAGTTGGCTGTGTTGGGAGGCTGTGGGAGCTTGATCCCTCTGGGCTCCATCCCAGCCATTTTCTCCGTCCTAGACAGAGCGGCCTTGTTCTTGCCTCCTTAGTCACAGGCCACTGTTTGGCAGGGAGTTCTGGTGGTGAGAGGTGTCCCGGGACTTGGATGCCCTGCAAAGGCCCACTCTGGCATGTCTCCTAAATTAATAATGTATTTAGCTGTGGGAGGAGATCCTTGAGAGCCAAGGGCCTGGAGGAGGTGCCCGTCTGAATCTGTCGCTGCACAACCTGGCACAAAAAGGGTTACCGGGAGCAGCGGCCATCTTGCTGCAGAGGATGCTTTGTTCCCAGCTAAGGAGCTGAATAAATTCATTCTGGGGCTGGTGGAATTCAAATGTAAAAGCCTCCTCTGTCACTTTTAGGGGCTTCCTCTGCACTCCTCCCCCACCTCCCATCCTCCACCCGTTTCCACAGAAGATACTTTCAGTCTTTAAATTTTGGCTCAGAAGTTCTGGGGGTGGGGCAGGGAGGAAGGGGACATTGCTTCAGCCAGGGAATCTGGGCTTGCTGGCTGTGGTCAGAGGCCATGTTAAGTTATCTCTCTGTCTCTGGTATCTCAGACCTTTGAGACCTGAGGTCTATTTTGTCTTTGGAGAGGAGTCTACCCTGCCCCCCATCTTATCCCATTTTCTTCTCCGCGTCCACTCCCCCACTCCTCTCCCAGCCCATCCCCAGGGGCTCAGGTGGCAATCTGACTTTTCTCAGTACTCAGCCCCTCTCCCTCTGTTTTCTCCACAGCAAGCCCCGCCCAACACGGACTGGCGTTTCTCTCAGGCCCAGAGACCCGGCACCAGCGGGTAGGTGACGATGCCCCAGCCCACCCTCTTCTCTGCGGCATTTTCTCAGTGATGATGACATGGGAGGAGATGGGGGGAGGGCTCAGCATTTGCTACAAATGGCTTCTTCCCTCCATTCGAGATTACTGGGAAGTTTTGAGGTACTGGGGGCTGGAACACAGACACCCCACACACACACACACACCCCACCCGAGGAAGAGGCGCCAGCCCTCACTATTTTGGAAGCTTAATTTCACACTCACTGCTCCCCTTCCCCCACATGCTTCCCTATCTCCTGAGGGGTCCGAGGGACCTAAGTTTGTAAGCTGATCTCTGGGTGGAAGGAGGCTCCTCACCCCTCTACTGCTGGTGCCCTGCCCTCCTCCAGCTGCGCCAGGCTCCAGCCTGACCTGGGGTCTGGCAGAGAATCCTGGGACAGAAAGAGGAGCAGGTGGAGGTGTCAGCAGTCAATGCCTCCAGAGCCTGCAGAAACTAACAAACAAATAAACAAACAACCCCAGGCGTGGAGGCAGAGGGGAGGGAGCGCAGGCAGCTGTGGAGACAGCACAGCTGGAGAAGGGACTGGAGAGGAGAAGCTGTGCTGGATGGGGGAGCCTGGGTCTGCCTCCTCTTGCCCCTTCTCCAGCTGCCCTCTGGCCTCCACCTGTCCTGCCCTCTCTGCCTGCAGGCCTTCTGTCTCCTCCCCGTCTTTCTCCACCCTTTTATTCTCTGCGTCTTATTTCCTCATCCTTTTCGGTCTCTGTCTCCGTTGCAGCCCCTGCCTGTCCCTCTTTCTGTCCCCATCTCAGGTTCTGTCTTTATGGCTGCATCTCCATCTAAGGCTCTGCAGGTGGTGCCTTCTTGCATTGATCTGCAGGTCCCCGCGCCTGCTGGCGGAGGTGCTCAGTAAATGTGAAGAGTACGGAAATGGGACTCTTCTTTAGCCTCAGTCTGTTTCTTCTCTCTCTCCCCATCTCTTGCGTCTCTGGCTTCTACCCTTGTCCTTGACCTCTGTCGTCTTCTCTGGACTCTCTCTACTCCTGCTCTGTCTATTCTCGGCCTCGTTGTGTCCCTTTCTTTGCCGCTGTCTCTGTATATCCCTCTATGTCTGTTGTCTTTTTCCTCCCCCCCCAAAGAATTATTTCTTTCATTTTATTTATTGTTATTAAAATTTTTTTGAGAGAATTTTCGCTACAAGCACGTGTGCTCACTGGAGAGACAGAGACAGACACAGAGTGAAAGTGTGAAACCACACACCCCCTCCCCCAGGAGAGATGGCCACACCAAAATCTCTCCTCCATTCTCCTCTTGGGATTTTGTTCACATGTGACATGCTCCCAGTGTATTTCAAGCCACCGGGTCTGGGGCTTGAACTTGAACTGCAGTCAGCCATGTGGGAGCCTAGCACTTTAACCACTACGCCACCCATTGGCCCAATTATTATAATTTTTAATTTCTAATAGAGCACATGTACTCACCAGAGAGCGACACAGAGAGAGAGTGAGAGAGAGAGAGAGAAAGCAAGCTGCCAGGCCCAGTACCCAAACTGCAGCTGGCCATGTGGGAGTCTAGCTCCTTGACCACTGTGCCACCTGCTAGCTCCTCCCTTGTCTTTTCTGCTTCTTTTTTATTTTTTAGTTATTTATTATTTATTTTATTTATTCATTCATTTTTTTTTAAATTTGACCAGAGAGAGACAGAGGGTGAGAGTGAGAGAGAGGAAGTGAGAAAGCAAGCCACCAGATTCAGGACTTGAACCCTGGTCAGCCATGTGAGAGTGTCCAGCACCTTAACCCACCACGCCACATGCTGTCCTTTTCTGCTTCTTGAGCCTCTTTCTCCGTTACTCTCCACCCCATCCCCCACCTGTCTCTCTGAGCCATGTCTCTGTCTCTCATTTCTTGGTACTGTGGGCAAGCCAGCCCAGGCTTGTGCCCTGCCCCCATGCTCTCAGGCTCCTGCTGCCCCTGTGCACTGAGCCTTTGATCCTGGCTCTCACACACCCTCCACCCAGGCTACCCCAGCTGCACATTGCAGTCCTACAGAGACAGGAACCCCCTGCGGCTGTTGTGGGGGGGTGACTGCAGTGAAAAGACCATCTTGGGTTGAAGAGACTAGGATGGGCTCTGGGCCAAGCCTCCCTGTTAGAAGTCAGGAGTTGGGGGGAGTCAGAGAGCCCAGAGAGAGAGAGAGAGAGAGAGAGAGAGAGAGAGAGAGGCGGCAGCCTGCCTCCTTGATGGGCGGGCATGTGCCGCCTGCATTTGCCCAGATGCTACAGACACTGAGCTTCTGGGCTCCCTCTCTCTCCTGCCCCACAACAGCCAAACCCTCCCTGTACAAGGAGCCAGGGGAGAGTCTGGTATGCCATGGACATGCCAAGTTCTGAACATGTGTGATCCTGCCCCTGCTTTCAGGAATGCAAAGCGTGTTTTAGAAGCCCCCTAAAGGCTGCAGACCTGAAGGCTCCAACCACCTTGCTCCTCCCTTGGCCCCAGCTGTCTGTTTCTCCCAGTCTCCCCATAGGTTATTCATGAGGTCATTCAGCTATTTATCCATTAATTCAACAAATGTTTATCCAGCCTCTATGATGATCCAGGCCCTGTGCCTAACTGAGCTGTAAGAGTGAATGAGCTGGGGAACCAGCAGTTAGCGTAATGGCTATGTCACTGGACTCCCATGTTATCAACTGCGGTTCGTGTCCCGGACCCTGTGGCTTAAACTCATGCCGGGCACGTGTGCGTGCGTGCCCAAGATCCCGAGAGGAGGATGGAGGAGAAGGGATTGCGGCGTGACCATCCCCCCTGGGGGGAGGGGTGATTTTCAGCGTTCTGTCTCTCTGTCTCTCTCTGTCTTTCTGGTGAGCGCATGCGCCCTAGAGTCAAAAAAAGAAAAAATAGTGAATGAGCTGGCATGATTCCTGAATCCAAAGGTCCCTCTTTTGGGCCAGGAAAGGAGACAAAAACTTGACAACAAATCACACACATGGGCACAAACATCCCTACTTACGAATCATAGGAAGTTCTGAGAACAGGATGACTTGAGTGTAATGTAGTGGGGGGTGGTGGTCAGGGAAAGCTTCTAGGAAGAGGTAACATTTGAAGCTATGAGAAGAACTGGGCAATCTGTGTTTTCTCCGCCCACCCCCACCCGAGGCCATATATGGGCCCTGAAGCAGAATGCGCTGAAGTGTAACTCCACCCACTGCCTCTGGTGTGACCTCGGGGTGAACACTGGTCCCTGCCTCAAGTCCCTTTTCATCCTATGAGAAGCTTGGTGTCTGGAATATAAGTGGGGACTCTTGGGGAGATGGAGAAGGCTCAGGCCAGGGGTTCCTCCTCCCTACTCCTATTTCTCTCTGCTTGTCCTTCTGGCTTCTGATCCCAACAGCTGTTGTGCTAGGCACTGAGCCCATGGAGCCATTTCTGCCTTCCCAGGCTGTTCCCCAGGCCTTGCGGGACGAGAGCCCCCATTTGGTTCCCCCTCTTCCCCGTCCTGCTTTCCCTTGATCGGTCCACCCTACCTTCCCCAACTCTGGGTCTCCTTTCATCCCCCCTCCTTCCCGCCTCTTTTTTTTTTTTTTTTAAAGATTAATTTATTAAAGAATTACTTACTTAATTTTATTTGGTATTATTATTTTTTTAATTTGACCAGGGAGAGAGAAAAGAAGAGTGAGAAAGCAAGCTGCTAGGTCTGGGACTCACATAGTGGTTAGCCGTGTGGGAGTCCAGCACCCCAACCTCCATGCCACCTGCCAGACCTGCATCCCTCCTCCTTTGAGAGACACTATCTCTGCTTTGGGCAGTCATTCAATGAACAAATAGCAACTTAATTTATTTCCATTTATGAACTAGTTACCTACTCATTATGGAAATAGAAAAACCACCCAGGCCAGCGGGCAGCATGTTGTTTAGGTGGCTGGATCCCACATGGCCGATTGCACAGTTCAAGTTCTGGACCCCAAACTTGGAAAACGTGCCAGGCTTGTGATCGTGCATGCCCAAAATCCTGAGAAAATGGAGGAAAAGGGATTGTGGTGTGGCCATCCCCGCAGGGGCTGTTTCCTCTATCTTTCTCTCTCTGGCAAGGGCATGCACCCTACACCAAATAAAAGAAAACAAAAACACAGCCTAGGAAGAACCACCATTTTTAATTTAATATGGAAAATATTTAATAGTTAAATAAATACTATTTAATATATACAAAAATAAGAATGATATAATGAACCTTCATGAACCCACTGTCTACTCTTTCTTTTTTTCTTTTTAAGAGAGAGATCCTTACTATAGGGCATGTACACTAGCCAGAGAGACAGAAAGTGAGAAATCACCCCCCAGAGGGGATGGCCATGCCGCAATCCC